TAAGGCTGCAGTGAGAAGCATGAAATCCACCACCAAATAGTCTCATGAAACATTAACTAAAAATATATGGAGATGAGTGATAAATACATACACACACATGCACACATGTGTGTCATATATACCACATATGCCATATATTGTATGTTATGAACTATATAACATATTAGGTCATATGCCATTTAGTTATTAAGAGCATAGGTAGTGAGAAGCATGAGTATAAGGTGCTCTGGTGGCACAATGGTTAAGTGCTCAGCTGCTAACCAAAAGGTCACTGGTTTCAACCCACCAGCTTACTCTGTGGGAAAAAAAGACCTAGCAATTTGCTCCCATAAAGATTATAGCCTAGCCATAGAGGGATGGAGAACTGGGCCTTCACTGAGCTTGCAGGTTATATGATGGTCTTTAAACCTACTTGCTGATGAAATCTTATCTAATAAAGGTTTGTTTATGTGACAGGAAAAATAAAAAAGATTACAGCCTCTGTGGGGTGGTTCAACTCTGTCATATAGGGTTGCTATGAGTTGAAATTGACATGATGGCACCTAACAACATAACACCATAGTTGTATATTATATATAGTGATAATGATCTTATATATTGAGATTTTGAATCTAGATTCAAGAAATACAATAGCCATCATGTTGATTTAAAGGAACTCTGCTGGTGCAGTGTCTAAGGCATTTGGCTGCTAATCAAAAGGCCTCTCCACAGGAGAAAGATGAGGCGGCCTGCCTTCTGTAAAGATTTATAGCCTTGGAAACCCTATGGGGAGTTCTACTCTGTCCTATAGTGTCGCTATGAGTCAGAATTGACTTGATGGCAGTGGGCTTGGTTTTTGGTTATGTTGATTTTAGTTTACAAGTGGTAATTTGAGATGCTAGTTCAACAACTGGGTAGATGTGAATGTGGGGCAGTGTGATTATGTAAGAAAATGACCTTGTTCTTAGAAGACAGGTGCTGAGATCTTTAACAGGAAGTGTCTGGATGTCTGCAACTAACTAATGGTCTGGGGGTAGGAGGTAGTGTTTGTCCATAGACAGCATGCAAACGTTAATGATTAGAAAGGTATTCCTTGTACTGTTTTTGCAACTTTGTTGTTATTTTGTTGTTAAGTGCTGAGTGGGCCACTTTAGTGTTGCAAAAATTTTTGCTTGATTTTTTTTCAAAGATGTGGAAGGGGAGATATATCTTGTTATGATTATTCAACAAAGGGAGCTCTGGTGGCGTAGTGCCTAAGGCATTTGACTGCTACCCAGAAGGTTGGTGGTTCAAACCCAGCAGCCACTCCTCGGAAGGAAGGTTGGGCAATCTACTTCCATAGTGATACCACCTTGGAAACCCAAGGAGGGGGTCATTATGAGTCAGAAAACAACTCAACAGCAGTGAGTTTGGTTTGGTTTTTGATTCAACAAAAGCCCACGTCCAGGTAAAACAAAACAGAAGAATAAAAGCACGAGAAATCCTCTAAAATTTTGATTAAAATGCACTGCCAAATCAGAATAATTTTGTCTAAAATTTTACAACTGAAAACAAAATGACCATTTTCACTCCAAACTGGGAGTCAATATGCATCTTATATTGGTGTATACCAAAGTCAAATGCCCTATAATAAAAGAAAGAATATCAGATAATACAAGACAGGGATGACACATGACAGGATGAACACAGGATTTCACATTTGTTGTCCAATTAAATAAGGCCCTAGAATTTTAGTGCTGAAAAGCACCAATGAGAAATAAAGTCCAATAGTCAATCCTCAATTTGTAGGTGATGTAATGAAGGGCCAGAGAAAATTATACAAGTCTTGAGCATACAAGTAAATAAAAGATGTTACATGCTTTTCAACTCAGTGCTTCTTAGAGGTACAATCGATATTAGAGCCACTGTTCCCTGGAAATGTCCTAATCCTTTCATTCCAATGGGATTAAACTGAACCTCCAAGGTTAAATCCTGGCAATTCCAAAAAGTTTAGGTATTTCCAGTTGAATAGGAATGAGTCAGAGGTATTTTTGACATGTTTTCAGAATGAGTAACAAAATATATTTGGTAAGGAAACAGCAATGAGAACTAAAAAGCACACAGGGAAGGTGAGAATAACGAAAAGGGTGAAAACTGCCTTTGTTACTGGGGAATCTTGCTTCACCAAATAAATCCTCAAGTTAATGTGCATCTTCTTCCTACTCCCTAAACGTGATGTTCATCCATTCATTCGATTCATTTCAGGGAAAAAGACGAAGACCTCAAGGAAATGGACTGACACAGTGGCTGCAACAATGGGCACAAACATAGGAACACTTGTGAGGATGGGCCAGGACCAGGCAGTGTTCCATTCTGTGGTACATGGGTCACTTGAGCTGGAGCTGATTTGACAGCACCTAACAACAACTACAACAGCAACAACAATTCATTCCATTCTTCTTTTCATTCATTTATTCAATATCTGTGGTTGTTATGTGCCGTCAAGTCGGCCCTGACTCATAGCGACCTCTCCTTGGGTTTCCGAGGCGGTGTCACTACGGAAGTAGATTGCCCAACCTTCCTTCTAGGAGTGGCTGGTGGGTTTGAATCGCCAGCCTTCTGGTTAGCAGTCAAGTGCCTTAGGCACTATGCCACCAGAGCTCCTGTGGCAGATGTGTTGTTGTTGTTATGTGCCATCGAGTCGGCCCCAACTCATAGCGACCTCTCCTTGGGTTTCCAAGGTGATATCACTACGGAAGTAGATTGCCCAACCTTCCTTCCGAGGAGTGGCTGGTGTGTTTGAACTACCAGCCTTCTGGTTAGCAGTCAAGTGCCTTAGGTACTACACTAAGCACCTACAAATAAGTCTTAAAAGAAATACAACCCAAATGCTCCTTGGCATCGAGGATGGCAAGAGTTTGGCTCGCTTACGCTGGACACATTATCAGGAAAGGTCAATCACTAGAAAAGGACATGATGTTTGGTCAAGCAGAGGGGTCAATGAAAACAAGGGAAACCCTCAAGAGATAGATTGACAGTAGCCACAACAATGGACTTAAACTAACTAATGATGGTTGCACAGGACCAGGCAATGCTTTGGTCTATTATACACAAAGTCGCTGAGTCAGGACTGACTCAAGGGCAACTAACAACAGCTATGTACCACGTGAACAGCCATACTGCAATGCTGTAAAGCTATGGAGGCTTGTCCTCTTAGCACTTTGTTTTCTGGGTGTGAAGAAAGTTTCTCTTTTTTCCCCCAAGCCTAAATATAGGAGCTCTGGTAGCATAGTGCCTAAGGCATTTGACTGCTAACCAGAAGGCTGGTGGTTCAAACCCACCAGCCACTCCTCAGAAGGAAGGTTGGGCAATCTACTTCCGTAGTGATACCACCTCAGAAACCCAAGGAAGAGTCGCAATGAGTCAGGTCCAACTCGACGGCACATAACAACAACAACAACAACAGGCCTAAATATGCACCTAGATTTTTTTTTTTTTAATTCTCCATACTTAAGCTTTCCAAAATGTGAACTGTGCACAAATACCAGAATTCCACAGTGGAGGGAAAATACAAACTAAGGGGGAAAAAATCCACACTGACACTGGGGACTCTGAACCATTAAGCAACCGCTGAGGTGGCCCTTTGTTGGATCTTGCCCTTACTTAGAAATTATCTTCTCAGGTTCTTGCAGTCTTAAGCTTGGGTTTCAAAAACCATTAATAATTACCCTGAAATGGCAAGCAAAAGGAAAATTTCGTCACTAGGGTGGTGTGTCTATAAAGACTATAAAAAGTTACAATGATCTTGCTTAGCTCTTCACACTCCACTTTTATTCTTCTAGTTGTTTCCCTATTGGGCAATAAGGTAAGTGGGCTTTTAGTACTACTTAGGGCTAGCTCCTTCTGCTTGCATTAACATTGTGCTTCCTTTTAGAATGGTGTGAAAGATAATGGTTTACAAGTGAGTTTGTGTCATCTAAGATATTACTACTAGTTTGGAGACAAGAAGCTGCCGTCAGAATCTAGACCAGGTGCATATGAAATAAAGAATGCCACTAATGACTCATGAAAGTGTTTGCCTCCAGGGACTAGCTCTGAACAGATGTTCTCTAAGAAAAGGTATTTTACATACTATCTAAGATGATTACTTTTAAAACAAGTTAACAGAAAAAGGAGACTAATGGAAAAACTGGTGAAATTCATATAAGGTCTCTAGTTTGGTTAACAACATTGTAACAATGTTAATTTCCTGCTTTATAATTTTGATAACTGTACTATGGTTTAGAGCTCTGATGGCATAGTGCCTAAAGCATTTGACCACTAACCAGAAGGCTGGAGGTTCAGACCCACCTGCCACTCCTCAGAATGAGGACTGGACAATCTACTTCTGTGGAGATACCGCCTCAGAAACCCAAGGAGGGTCACTATTAGTCGGAACAGACTCGACGCCAATGAGTCTGTTTTTTTGTTTTTTGGGGGGAGGGGGTTCGGATTATAGTTATAAGGAGCTCTGGTGGTGCAGAATGTAGGGTATTTATTTGACTGCTAACGAGAAGGTTGGTGGTTCAAATCTACCAGCTGCTTCATGGAAGGAAAATGGGGCAATCTACTTCGGTAAAGATTTACCACCTTGGAAACCCAATGGGAGTTTTTATGGGTCGGAATTGACTTGGTGGCAGTAGTAATTTGAGTTTTGGGACTATGGTTATATATTATTAACATTAAGGGAAGCTGGGCAAAGGATATACATGAACTCTCTGTTAGTTTTATATCTATTTTTTGAAGTCTAATATTACTTCAAAATAAAAAGTTATATATATATATATATATTTGCTGGCAGTTACTGGGGCCAAGGCCACGCTCTGTGAGTCACTCTCCTGACCCTCAGTTCATCCCTTCCTTTTCTCTATTCTTCCCATCTTTGCCAAGGAAACGGCCCAATGGCACTAAAAGCCCGCTGACCACCCTCAGTACCCTCAGTAGGAAAGTCCGTTTCAGCTTTTTGGTAAATCCATTTCCTTTCCAGTTGGCAGGACATCAACATGAGTGCGAAGAAGTCTCCCGAGGAATTGAAGAGCATTTTTGAAAAGTATGCAGCCAAAGAAGGTGATCCAGACCAGCTGTCAAAGAATGAGCTGAAGCTACTGATTCAGACGGAATTCCCAAATTTACTCAAAGTGAGTGCCAAACCAACCAACACACCAAACCAGTTGCCCTCCAGTCGATTCAATTCATGGTGACCCCTGTGTGTCAGAGTAGAACTGTGCTCCATAGGGTTTTCAATGGCTGATTTTTTGGGAAGTGGATCACCAGGCCTTTCTTCCAAGGTGCCTCAGAGTGGACTTTGAACCTCCAACCTTTCCATCAGCAGCAAAGCAATTCACTGTTCTCACCACCCAGGGACTCCAAAGTGAGTGCACAGAGTGCTTAACCAGTCTTCTGATGGTGGCGGAGGTGTGTGGGGGTCAGGGGGAGCAAGGGGAAACAACAGGCAGAAGTGTCAGGCTGTGGTACTAAGCAGGGCTTTGGCTAGGGCAGAACATAACACAGCCAGGCACAGGCATCACTTCAGGGAGGACATGCAAATATGTACCTTCTTTCCCCGGTTTCAGGTCACATTTTTAAGGCAAGCCCCCTGAAGGCAGAGGCCAAGCATCTCATTCCTTCCCTAGCGCCAGCACCAAGCCCTGCATGGGCAACCATATTGAAAGGCAGTCATCAGTACATTTACCATGCTATGCCAGGAGACCTGCAAGATGGCTAAATGCGCCACTGAGGCCTTCAGCTTAGATCCAGCCCCTCTGTGCCAGGCATTAGGAAAGCAAAGAGGATTGCAGAATAACAGTAGTCAGCCTGGGATGTGCTTCATTTCTGTAGGTGGGATCCCTCAACAAGACCTGCTCTACCTTGGCAGCCTGTTTAGAAAACCAGCTTTAATGCTGATGAGTCGTCCTCAGTGGGCCCCATTTATTTCAATGTATGTTAATTTGGGTTAAGCACTGAAATGTGTGTTAATGAGGCAGCCATGCATTGCTGACCAACTTTCAGGAAAGGACTAGAAACAGATCCTCTCTGCTCTCGTGTATTTTCTTTCCTTGGCAACTAAAACTGATCTTCACAGTGGAAGCGACTGTGTAACTATTGTATCTGACCCTGTCACTATTCAGCTCCAAGTCCCAACAAAAGCAAGGAGCTCTGGTGACACTGTGGTTAAGGCATTTGGCTGCTAACCAAAAGATTGGTGGTTCGAGCCCATCGGCCCTCTCTGTGGAAGAAAGATGAGGGAGTCTGTTTCCATTAAGATTTACAGCTTTGGAGACCCTGTGGGGCAGTTCTACACTGTCCTAAAGTTCTACTCTGTCCTAAAGGGTCACTATGAGTCGATGGTTTTGGTTTGGTTAGTGCAAGAAAAAGGAACCTGGTGGTTCAAACCCAGCCACTCCAAGGGAGAAAGATGTGGTCTTCTACTTCCATAAAAATTTACAATCTTGGAAATCTTCTGGAGCAATTCTACCTCATCCTATAAGGTCACTATGAGTCAGAATCGACTCAATGGCAGTGGGTTTCATTTTGGTTTGGTGGGGTTGGTTCAATCATTCCAAAGTGAGGGCAAATTTACATAACATTAAAGGGCAAGTAGGAGTTGTCAGTAAGTCAGACATTTGTTCCTAACTCGGGGACTTACTGTACTAACCTAAAGGTTGGCAGTTCAAACCACCTAGCAGCACCACAGAAGAAAGACTTGATCATCTGCTTCCATAAAGACTACAGCCATGAAAATCCTATGAAGCAGCTCTATTCTGTAACACACGCAGCCGCCATGAGTTGGAATCCACTCGACAGCAAAGGATTTGGATTTTTTTTTTTTTTTTTTTGTATAGCAATGTTAAAACTAACCAAAACTCACCAAATTTGAATGTAAGGTTAAGTAGTGGGGTAGTGCCTAAGGCATTTGACTGCTAACCAGAAGGCTGGAAGTTCAAGCCCACCAGCCACTCCTCAGAAGGAAGACTGGGCAATCTACTTCCATAGAGATACCGCCTCAGAAACCCAAGGAAGGGTCACTATGAGTCGAATCGACTCCATGGCCGTGAGTTTGACTTTTTTTTAAGTTATTCTACATGTATATAAAAACCTAACTCACTGCCATCAAGTTGATTCCGACTCATAGTGACCCCCATAGGTTTTCCGAGGTTGTAAATCTTTATGGAAGTAGACTGCCTCACCTTTCTCCTGCAGAGGAGCTGGTGGATTTGAACCACTGGTGGGTTAGAACCGCCAACCTTTTGGTTAGTACCCAAATGCTTTAACCACTATACCACCCGAGCTCCTTATAAAGAGTGGAGGAGGGAGAAATAGAGAAGATCAACCATTGGCTCAATTTAATATGATTCACTGAACCCTGCCCTGCCCCTTTTAAGGTCAACTGGTATAAGGTCACTGTCTCTGGCCCTCCATTCAGCCATATCTTGTGAAATTCAAATTCAGCAAGCTGGGTTTCAAACAGGAAATAAAGGATTTGCAACTTTGGGTGAAAGAAATGCTGCTGGCAGGATTAATTTTGGTCAGGAATTTCTTTAGAGTGAATATTTGGTTTCATGAATAAGAAAACCCTGAAATCAAAGCAAGATACCTGCTTTGATCAATCTCTCTCTGACAGCAGTAACTGACATATTTTCTCTCCTTTCCCCCATCCCATTCCTTTTGTCTAAAACCAGGATCCAAGCACCATAGATGACCTCTTTCAAGAACTGGACAAGAACGGAGATGGAGAAGTTAGTCTTGAAGAATTCCAGGTGTTAGTAAAAAAGATATCCCAGTGAAGGAAGAAACGAAAAAGTACCCTGAGCACTGAAAGAAGGCGACCGTAGACAGCCTCACCTTCCACGGAATCTCCTGCCTCTCTAGTTTAATGTGTTACAATTATAGTGATCTGGCTGTGACATCCAACTATTGTTAATAAAGAAATTCTCAGACATGTCTCATTTTCTCAAGTACTGACTCACATAGCTTAATAGGTTTCAGAGTAACTTTAGTCCAACTCATCTGATTTTATAGATGAAAACAATGGAGGCCCAGAATATTCCATGATCTTGTCCTAGTCAAGACTACTAAGATCCTGTCAGAGGCGTGGAAAGAGTGCTGGAGAGCTCAAGCCACTCCCTCACCTGACTCTTCATCCCGAATAACCCTGTTCCTTGCTCCCCTCACCTCCTATTCTCATCATTTCAAATTTCAACTCTTACTTCCCGCTATTCAAGAGCTTGTGGAAAACACTTCAAAAAATAGACTCTTGTCTATAACATCAGTTTCTAGTACAAGTCATGCTTTTTGAATGAATGACCCACACAGGAACAGAAGGAAAACAGGACCAAGTGTTGAGGTCCTGCTTCACCATCAAGGAGGGGACGGGGGCTCCAGCAGGTCTACCAGCCTAATCCTTTGGGTCCGGGTTCTGCAGGTGATATGCAAAGGAAAAGGAGACAAGGAAGCAGATGGCCCGCCAGTTCTGCTATCCTGTGCTGCTGAGATTTCTTATCTGAGAAAACAGCCAATTGTCAAGTTCCACTTGTTGAGCCTAGTTCTGGGGGGTGCAGGGTGGGGAGGGTAACTTTCTTTTACCCCTTACTGATAGAGTTAAACATTAAAGCTCAAGTTAGTCCCAGTTACTAATGTGCTCAAGCTGGCCCAAACAGCCTATCACCAAAGTGCCCTGGAAGCCAGATTTTTATTTCCCCTTTATCCTTACCGGGGAAGTCTTTGGGTGGTACAAATGGTCAATGTGCTCAGCTCAGAGGCTCCTCAGAAAGACAGGTCTGACAACCTACTTCTGAAAAGTCAGCCACTGGAGTCTTAGGGAGCACAGTCCTACTCTGATATCCATGAGTGTGAATGAACTCAGCAACTGGGTTTTTGTTTTGTTTATAATCCTTCCAACTCTGCTCCCCTTAAAAACTTACAAATTTCAGTATGGGGTCTCATTCCCTTTGACCAGTGTTTCTCAACCTTTTTTTTCTTTACTGCTCTCCTAAAGGGCCTTTGAAACATTTTTTCCTGATTGTGTCCTCCCCCAATAACATTTTAATTCCACAAATATACAGTATATATGTTTGTGTATATGTATATTTGTGCTTTAGACATGAAGTTAGATTTTTTTGCTCTCCCTCACCCAGTTCTCATCCCCCCCTCCCATCTTGGGAACACTTTCGCCTGCCTTTGAACAATGTGTTTTGTTGTTTTTTTTTTTTAACTCAGGCTCCACAGCCAAAACCGCCAAACTTTACTTTCTGTAGTTGACATCAGTAAAGATGGGATTTCCACTTTTCAAAATGGAGAAAATGATAATATTGAATGTTATTCAGACTACACACACCCTCAAAGATTCTGAAATGACCCTATCCTCAAAAGCTGGGAATCATGGTCTGCAAACTACTGTCTTTCTGACTCAACTTTTTTAACCTAATGAACTTAAAGTATATCCCATATATGTCAGTCAAGTTGGCTGCCATAATTCCCCATCGTTTGCCATGCGTCCTTGAAGACCTTCCAAGGTGGGTAGCCAAGCACACGCACACACTCTCCCCCATCATCTCCCCATAGAGTAGCCAGCCATTCACCCAACAAGAAAAACAAAAAAACAGTTGCTGTTGACCCAACTCATGAGGACCCCATGTGTGTCAGAGGAGAACTGTGGTCCCTGGGGTTTTCAAGGGCTGGGTTTTCTTTTCCAAGGCACCTCTAGGTAGACTCGAACCTCCGACCTTTGGTTAGCAGCCGAACACTTAACAGATTACACCACCCGGGACTCCATCTAATGGGAAAGGAGTGCCTATTCGCCAGCTGGGCTGGGCCAGATTCCATCTCTAAGGAGTCTGATCTCAGAGAGGAGGTGGTCCTGGTTGATGTAAGAATTTATAACAAAGTTGAGCTAAGCCGGCCAAACTGGGCTGAGTGTCCATGAGAGAAATACCTGGCGATCTTCTCCTAAGAAAGGCGACAGCCTAGAAAAATCCTATGAGGCAGTTCTCCTCTGTCATAGTATGGGGTCACTATCAGTCAAACTTCGACTTAACTGCACCCAACAACGACACCACATTCCGAGAGGATTGAGGGACAAATAGGGGACAGAGATGAGAGAGACACTTTTCACTTCCCATCTTTTGTGCATTTTGCTTTTGAACCATGTGGACGTGTGTCCTATTAAAAACATAAATAAATAATTAAGAAAACAGAGAAGATTTTAATACCTCGCTGAGGGAATGCTTAAATACAACCTGTATCCCATTCTAATTCAATGGAGAATATTCTCATGGCATGGAAAACCCTAAACATTTCCAATTACTAATTATATTCCACTAGAGGGGTGCCTCATAACAGCCTTAACAATTTCCCACTGTGGGGCATTTAGACTGCTGTCATTTCTGCCTCTTCCAAAAACGTTATAAATACTGAATAGCTGTCCATATCTCCAGTGACATTTCGGATTTTCTTAGGAGAATTTCTGAGACGTAAATCACTGAGTGAGAGGGTGTGAATATTTTTATGGTTTGTGAAACTGACCACCTTACTGAGCTTCCAAAGCTAAAACAACCAAACTCACTGCCATTGAGTTGATTGCAACTCACAATGACCCCCACTGGGTTTCCAAGGCTGTCAATCTTTACAGAAGCAGACTGCCCTAACTTTCTTCCATGGAGTGGCTGGTGGGTTCAAACCTCTGACCTTTTGGTTAGCAGCCAAATATCTTAACCATTACACCACCAGAGCTCCTTAATGGATCTCCCAAAAGGTTTTATCAATCCATATTTCTATCCACAGGGCAGGGGAATAAAATCTTCACTCCCCAGATAGCAATTTTTCCAGTTACTATGACGACCCCATATGTGTCAGAGTAGAAACGGGCTCCATATGGTTTTCAATGGCCGGCTTTTCAGAAGAAGATCACCAGGCTTTTTGTCCAAAGCGCCCCTGGGTGGAGTTGAACCTCTAACCTTTGGGTGGGCAGCTGAACACATTAACCAATTGCACCACCCAGGGACACCCAGAGAGCAGTAGAGTCTCTCATTTTAACAACTTTACTAGTCACAATAAAACCAAAGCAAACTCACTGCCATTGAGTCGATTCGGACTCACAGCAACCCTCATTGGGTTTCCAAAGCTGTAAATCTTTACAGAAGCAGACCACCTCATCTTTCTTCCATGAAGCAGTTGGGTTCGAACCACTAACCTTTTGGTTAGCAGCCAAATGCCTTATCCACTACACCACCAGAGCTCCTTATTAGTCACAACAGTGGACATCTTTCCTTTATTTCTGGCTTTAACAGGAACCTCCTACTATTTAACCATTAACTTTACTCTTGGCTATTGGTTTGAAAAATATATTCTTTCTGTTGTTTAAGAAGTGCGCTTCTCTCCCTCGTTTGTTATGAGAAGGTCAGCACTGGGTTTGGATCTATTAGTCTGCTAACTGAGCAACTATTATATGGAGTTTCTCTTTCATGCAAACAACATGATGTGTTCATTAATTTCATTCCTGGAATAAACACACTATCCAGTCATGATGGGCTAGTTTTTAATGCTGTTAAATTAGGTGTTGTAATATTTCATTTAAGGAGCCTTGGCAGCACAACAATTAAGTGCTCTGCTGCTAGCTGAAAGGTTAGGGGTTTGAATCCATCAAGAAAGCCCAGGTAATCTGCTCCCATAAAGATTACAACCTAGGAAAACCCTATAGGACAGTTCTACTTTGTCACATGAGTGCTATGAACGGAAATCAACTTGGAAGCACCTAACAACAGTATTTCATTTAACATTTTTCCATCTTTATTCCTAATCAGCATTAGTCTGTAGTTTGGAAATTTATTTCCTTGTTGTGTCTACTAGACCATGCTAGCTTCTCATCTTAAGCTGTGTTCTAGTTCTCAATTAGCCCCTTGCAGAGTAAACATACACTATTTTAACTCCAACATATATAAAGTATTTACTATGTGCAAGCATTTATACAAGGTGCCATAAAATCTACAGACTTCTAGCCCTCTAAGGCCTAAATCAAGGCACTCTGGTGGCGCAGTAGTTAAGCACTCAGCTGCTAACCCAAATGTTAGTGGTTTGAATTCACCATCCGCTCCACAGGAGAAAGATACAGTAAGTTGGCTTCTGTAAAGATGACAGCCTTGGAGACCCTATGGGACAAGTCTACTCCATCCTATAGGGTTGCTATGAATCAGGATCAACAGCAATGAGCAACAGGCAAGACCTAAATCAGTAAGTCTGGGATCAGGCCATGGAAAGGCTTAATGGAAGAAGTGGTATTTCTACTGGGGTTTGTAGGAAGAGGCTTGAGGCAAGCCGGCAGGGAAGGGACTACATTGCACATTCACAAAGAGAGAAAACTCCAAGTAAATACAGCACATCCAAGTGCAAGGCAGGCCCGGGAGCACACATACTATTTGTGGCAGTTAAGGTTATTTGTCAACTTGGCTGGGCCTGGTTTTGAGTGGCTGGGCAGCTGGATGTAGTTATTCTCCATGATGAGACTGGTCATTAACTCCACAGTGGAATCTACCATGAGCAGCTGAGTAGCTGCCTTAGGGATGTAGTCTGCTTCCAGCATATAAGAGGCAGCTTTGAGAAAGGTCTCTCGCTTTTTGGCACATCTGGATCCTGTAGTTGGCCAAGTCATCAGTGGTCCACCATGTTGTCTGCTGATCTTAGGACTGTTTAACTAGTCACCTGCCATGTTGCTTGATAATCTTGAGACTGTGCCATTTTACTTGTCAACCTTGGGTTTTTAGCCTCAGCAGCCAGCAACTGCCTAAGAGAA